ATATAGAATAAGCACATACAATACAAAAGCAAAATATTAATCGACAAAATACACAAGATGAGGGAAGAGTCTGGGAGATCATTAGAGTTAATGTAACCAAGATACCACAAAACTTCATATCCTGAGTAGAGAAAATACTGAAGTATAGAAAAAACCACCTGTCCTACACATCTGATCTCTCCCTTTTCACAGGAAAGGAGAAGTTTTGCAGAATTTTCCCAATTTTCTGCTTACTCATTTACAAAAAATGAAGATTGAAAACACTAGCTTTCAGGCTGTGCTTTCTTTTTTTCCTTCTAGGCATGGGAAAAAGCAAAGAAGAAAACAAGAAGTAACAACAAAAAAGGAAATTTGAGTAAAATATTAAAGCAAAGGCTTTTGTGAAACTTACTTGTAGTTACTCTCAAGGACTTTGTTTCTGATTGACAGGCTGCCCTGCAAAGGATGGGCATGAGCAACTCCGCACACGCTTCGCAAAGGACATGTGGGGATCACCAGTAATGGATGTTTCAGCAGCAAGTTGCTATCCTGTTCTCTGCCTGGGATTGGAAGTGCGGGCTGCAAGAGTTAACGTCTCTGGAAGCTCTGTGATGTGTATTTACTTCTCTAGGTCTGGGTGCATCTGGGTGCAACATCTGGGAAAGCACTTTGGAGGGAATGGGATGAGAGAGGTCTTTCTTGCCTTCATGCCACTGCAGGGTTACATAGAAATGGTAGACCACAATCATGCCTGAGACCTCAGATGAACTACAGTTCTTTGGAGGTAGAATATTAAGAGCTAAATGGTTCACTTAGAGAAAATTCTATTCTGCATAATGAAATCATCATTATTCCCTTGTGCCACACACAGACAAAACACATATGCACCCCATATTTACAAAGTCAGGGGGCATGGTTGCAAATATTTTTCATAACCTGGAGACTGAAAGCAATCACAGACACAATTAGACTTGCTTTCCCATCAAAGTGCCTTGGAATAACCATGTGGGCACCCTTCCATATCGGCACAGCATCAGACCTACAATGCAGAGAAACGACTCCCTGTGTGTAAGGTGAGTTCAGAGTTTGCAAAATGCGCCAGAAATGAAATCATCTAACTTTCCACAGAGCAGCTTTTGGAAGAGAACTGGATGTACAAGCTCCCTGTGGTATGGACACCTGCCCGTAAGTAGCTGGATTCGGACAACTATCTCAGTACATTCAGGCAGCTAGTTGAGGTTCGTATTTCTGAACATCACCTTACCAGGATATGGTGGCATGGGTGAGTCTGCCTTTATACCCCCGTACATAGTCAACCAGCAGAATAATTTGTGTTTCTTCTAAATAGAAACTGCATGAAGAGAAAAAAACTAGACGTGAAGACTTCCATTAAATAGACTGGTTTCCACATTGGAAAGCTCTACTGTTTATTGAATCTGGCAGTAAATTTTAAACACTACAAGAAAATTGTTTCTTAAAAAATAAAAGCGTTACCCAATACAAATAGAACCTCCTATCTTACTTAAAGCAAATTGCTTTTAAAATTGGCTTTGTTTGTTTGAATTCCTAAGTTCTGGAACAGCACAGGAACCTGCTGCTGCAGCTTTGTTCACCCACCAGGTTTACGTGCAGGAGGAAGAATTCTGGGAAAAGAGCCTATGGAGCATGTAGGACATGAGAAAGGAAAGCTGGGCTTTTGAAGAGAGAGTCTGGAGGGCAGGTGACAAAGAGACATTAATTTTAAAGGAGGCCAAAAATCTACACTGTTCAAATCAAATCCAAGAGGATTATTTTAGAAATGTTGCTTCCTCCCAGTACTTGTCTAAGAAAGGATTACAAACCTGCAAATATCTCCCTGGAACATATAGCTAGCAAAGGGCATTAAACAGACCTTAAGAAAACAACAGGTAATGAATGGAGTTTTAAAACCTACAGTGCAAAAATAACTTTTTTGGTGCCTCCGACTTCTTAAGTCTGCTCTGAAATTGCTGAAAGGAAAAAGTGAACAAAGACTAATGACAGGGGCCCTTTCATATTAAAATAATATATGGAGCAACAGTGAGCGAGAGGAATGCAATGTTTGAAAAAGCACAGACTAAATAAAACACCCATGTACTCACTAGCCCTCTCTCCTCTAGGGTGATGTCTCAACCCAGTGAAAAAGGAACTTCTTGGGGAGGAAATGTCATTTTCTCAGGTACAAAATCACATTTCTGAGATGCTTAGTGTCTCCATGTAATGCTGGGGAGAACACCCTGACACTGACAAGTAGGTTTCATTACGTCTGCTGCAAAGGTATTTGCTCTCATATCTCAGGAATGATATAGGCGTTGATCAAGGACAAAACTCTGAACACTGAAAAAAATTATTTGGCCCAGGGGCTGCATTCAGCATGATTCTGCGAGTGCAGCCCCAACTTCTGCAGCAGGGGCACCAAGAAGGGTGATTCAGACTCAGTGTTGGTTGGGGCTCATGGATGAAAAGCAGCAGTCAGCCCTGTGTCTCACAGGAGGTGCTTCAGACAGGGAGGAAACTTCCATGCCTTCCACAACCCCTCAGAGGCAGGAGCAAAGCCACAGTTGTGCCTATAAGACTCCCACCCTGCCCTACAGTCATGGATTGAATCCATTCTCACTTCTCGCCTACTGAAACATCCCAGGCCATTGACCCCAGGAAGTAACTCTGCCACATTCCTCTAGGAATCAGTAACTAATGATTGAAAATAGAGTTTCAAGGAAAAAGAAATTGCCAATTACTCCTACAATGCTGGCTATAAGAAAAACACCACAGAAATGAGAAGACAGAAAGCAATCTCTTCTATATCAGATGTTGAAAAATCACGTTCCATGTAACCTTAAAGCAGGCATCCTATTTCTTTATTCAATTCTTCAGGATGATTCACACATTTTAAACTCCTTGGGCATTTTCATATGGTAAAAGGGTGGCCACATGAAGCTAGAAATGGATTTAGCTGTGAGCAAGTTTAGATGTGAAATCCAACATAAATCAAAATCCCTTTAAATAACTATGTAGTTAGTGGGTTAGATTTCTCAGGTCATACTGCCTGTGCTCGGCACCACTTTGGCTGTGACGCATTCACACCACACTGTACTCCACACACTTAGAAGAAAGGGAAGAGCTTTAAATATACTCCACATGTACTACCCATTATACATTTCAAATCTGTGATCTTTAACAAGCCCCCTAGCAGACAGGATAATTTGCCTCTTCAATTTACATAACATGGCTCAAATTTACATGTTCTCTTCATTTACGAGGTGACAGATAATGTCTATGAAAACAGGGTCACAATATGCAAAGGTTAGTTTTGGTACCAATTGGCCTGTCATTCAGGTTGAAGTAGGACTAGGATTTGTAGATCAGATAGCCTCTGGATCAGGAGAGAAGATGTGGCCAGTGCGACAGCTTGCCCCTGTTGTGTGGAAGAACTTAGGAGTGCACACAGTGCATGCTCTGGGAAATCACCGACAGCCAGCAGTATGGAGATGGGCTTCCTCCAGTATCTCTGCAGGAAGCTAGAAACTGTCATTTTTTTATATTCACACTTTCTATTATTTAGTGCATTTTACACCAAGACAACTGAAATCACTACACATAGAAATGGCTCTGTGTGTTTTTCTTGTGATAACTGTCATCTGTCCAAAAGGTATTTTCACTTTTTCAGGTCTCGTTTGTAATGTTGTGGCAATTAGCCTAGGGGGTCCTGGGTGTCTGTTCTTGAACTCCTCTTTCTTAAAGCTCACTTCCTTGATCGCTCATCTTTCCATATACAACTTTTATCCAACACTACTATGCTGACTGAAACTATTATAGCAATATGAGAGCTGTTCTGACAGTAACACCTCCTATTTTACTCTGAGGTTGGCTCACAATCTCAGAGGCAGATGTTGGTGGTATGGCAGCAAAGGTTGAACCTTTCCACCAGCATTCCGTTACGTGCTGTTGCTGTGTGACAGATGGCAGCAGAGGGTCAGTCTGACAACATGGCATCTTCCATAGAAGTGCATCTGAAGCAATGGTGTGTCACTGAATTCCTCTGTGTGGAAAAAAATGCACTCACTGATATTCCTTGAGGCTTGCTGAACTTTTGTGTAGACCAAACAGTGTATGTGAGCACAGTGAGGTGGTGGGCAGTACATTTCAGCAGTAGAGACAGTGATGTAAAAGACAAATTACATTCCAAATGGCCATGCAGATTTTTATAAGTCTATCACACAGACTCTTATTCATCACTGGCAAAAATGCACAGCTAATGGTGGTGACTATGTTGCAAAATGGTTTTTTGTAGCTGAGAGTTTTCTCTATCAAATAATGTAATTGTGCTCTTCGTATCTGTTGTAGTTTCCACGGAAATAAATAGAAAGTGTTATTTTCCAAGTGACCTGCATATACACTTGAGATGTATTATGTCACCTGAGATGTTACTGCCTTGTACTAACCTAACTGGATGGCTTTGTCCATCCACCTTCACCATCTCCAGCTCACTTAGTTTCATTATAGTTACAGATAATTAAAAAATAATCATACATGAAATATTGCAGGGAAACTGCAAATATTTTTGAGCACTTTGCAACTTTTCATTGCCATTTCAGAAATCTGCAGCCAATTAGAGAGAAGGTTGAGATACGTCTTTGAATTTATGGCATGAAAATATCTGCATACTTTTTGCCAAAATAATGAAATCTTTGACAGTTACTGCCAATTTTACAGCTGCAAAGTCCCATGATTTCCAGTTGCATCAACATCACAGATCAGATATTAAAATCTAGTTTTTATAACCCATATCAGTTTCTCAATAGAAGGTACGATTTGCCTCTTCAATTTATATAAAACATAGCAGATTTTCATAACCTCTGTTTGAAAGGAAGAGAGTCAGTAGATCTTTCACAAACTAGATCTAGTAGAAAAGGAAATATCATTTCTTTAAGATAAATATAAATGTTTTTAGAAGTAAATTTTGATGGTTCAAAACCAAAACAAACCAAACAAAAAGTAAATACAGTGGTAAGAATGAGTATTGCTTTTGTCTGAAATGTTCAGCTGCCCTACTAGAACCATCAACAGCAACTTTAATACCTCCTAAATGACCTGAAATAGCAGTTACATATCATAAAATAATGCTATAGTTTTTTTCCCTGTTTGTCTTCAAAGCAAAAGATGTGAACTAAAGAAGATGAGTTACAAGTCAGTACACAGGGCTGTATTGAGCTTGCAGGGAATGGAAGTTTTAGCTCTCCACCACCATTAACTCCCTGGGCTGACAGGAATGTCTGTGTTGAACAGCACGGACACACACAGACCAGGAATGCAACCCAAGGCTGCTAACTTTCTGATTTTTCACATTATTCCTTTATAGAAACACACATTAATATTTTTCTTTATGATCACTGAAGAAGAAACCAACTCAACACAACCTCGATAAGCCATTTTCTCACCTTTTTCTCTTTGCAGAAAGAGTTGATATATCTGAGCTACAAGATTGACGGCGAGCCCAGGCGGCTCTCCATCACACCCGATACCTCCTGATAGCTTTATCTGATGATTTGGCAAAGCAACACCAAGAACCTGATACTAGAAAGAGAAATTTAATAGCAAGTGTTTGTGATTTATGAAACGCTCCAACGATTCCAAGTTTCACTTGCACGTTTCCGAGTTTCAGAGCTGATGCACAATTCAAGGCCGCCCCCCAGTGGATTCCGTGCCCACACACTGCACTAAGCTTGGAGGAGAAGTTGAGAAGTACTCGAAGCCACATGATAGCATCCTGAAAATGAAGGGAGACTCCAAGAGAACTGAATGCAACGGGTACTGCGTATAACATTTTGCTTCCATTTTTAATTACATTCAAAAGAAATTTACTTTCCAATCAATAATGCTGTCCTGTCAAAAAAAAAAATCACATATTTTTTCTTCTGATATCCAAACGAATGCTACTGTGAGTGAATTTACTATGCACATATAGTAAATGAAAATTAGTTTTCAAACACATTCTGCATAGTTAAAAAGTTGTTAGCACAACCAGCCTGTATAAAAAAAAAGTCAAGATTATGCAATGCTGAGTTTCTGTGATCCTTCTTCTGAAAGTTTCCTATTCAAACGTGCTCACCCTTGCGTGCCTAGCTGTCATAATTCATTTATACCTATCCAAAACTGCACACTAATTACTGTGGGTCATACGTGAATAATTAACTTATTTTGCCTGAAGCAACAGTGCAAGCCAAGATAAAAAATGTAAGATGAGATTACTACATAGAGTATGTTCATGGCCAATGCTATATGTGAAGTCAAAATACATCAGCTTCTTACCAAGACCAGAGAAGTATCTGAAAACAAATTTATCAGCAGAATATAGATTTTCTCACTGGATCTCTGGCAAAGTTCAGTGCTCACCCTCTCTACAGACTACAGCTTACTTCTTATATTGCAGCATGCATGAATAGATGATAAAACAGTTAACAGCTAATCAACCATTTAATGAAGGTTTTTGATTTGATGTTATTTTTCCTAATGTTTTCTCCTTGAAGGAATGAACCAATATCCAAAATACTTCAGGCAGTTGCCTTTTGGGATGGGTACTCAGTTCAGCCAGCTAACAGGCAAGTATCTGAGCTTCCTCTGCACTCAACAGTGAACGAGAAGTACCTTCAAATGCCAATTCATGGGTCAACCTGAAGAGGGAATAATGTGCCCCAGAGGTACCAATCCCTCTTTTATGACTACCTAGAGATTCCAGACAGATAGCATAGCCTAGACATCCAACTGCTGATGAGCCAAAGCTGGATAGATGAATTCTGTGATTACTTTTGGTACAGAAACTCTCTTCATGCTACTGCATAGTTATAGCTGCAGAAGTTGGAATTATCAACTACATTTTAGCTTTCAGTGCCTAGTTTTGAGCACTCAGTGCATTCAGTAGTGCAGAATACCTGACACTGATTTTGGGTGCTTTATATGCAAGACTTATCAGCCAGGAGATCATTAATGAAGCACAGAATCATTAGAGAATAGGGAAACAGTTTAGGAAACAAGAGAATGAAAAAGAAGAGAGAGGAATAGAGCTATAGTGGGATGAAAAAGTAAAGCAAAGGACAGAGTGCAAGGCAAAGGACAGGGGTACATAAAACACATTAGAAGACAAAATATACAGGAAAAAAATAAGGAAGAAGAAAAAAGAATTAAGACAAAACATATGACATTAAGATAGAATGCACAAACATTAATGGGAAGACATGAAGAAATCAGAATAATTGGCCTGGAGGGGAACCTAATGAAATACCCAGAACATTCCTGCTGTTATAGGAAAGGATTTTCTATTTACAGGAATGAGATAAGTGATAAATATCAAGACAAAATCTTGCTCAATATTCCTCTCAGTGAAAGCCCTGCTAATCAAAAGATGTACTGAGAAGAGTGATGAAGAAGTGGCTTCATTTGAAATGGAGAAGCCATCACTTGTTTTTTAAAGTAGTATCTCATAACATTTAAATTATGCAACAACACAGAAAATACCAGCAGGTTCTCAACAAAAACCAACACTGCGCTAGATTCTGGACAAACACCATCTTGTCTCCAAGGAGTTACAAGAATGTTGAAGTACATTAAGAACAGATTAATCAATACATTTAATTTAAGATCAGCAACATTCTGTTCACTGCCTTTTTAGCCATTTCAGCAGTAACCTTTTAAATTATTCTAGATGACCTCAAAGAGTTGTTCTTGAGTTTATCCAAAATAAAATCACAATGATTACACATCAGTGCTTCAGCTACTCTCACATGCCTGTCATGCAGAGTAGTAGCAAGCAGCCCTTAAGGTCAATAAGAAAAGCAGGTATCGATTACGTATTGTATCACTGAATGGCATCCAGCTCACGCAAACGCATCTCTCTTGCTTCTAAGTCACAGGATCCAGTGCAATCTATTCTCATAAAATGACTGACTTCCATTTGCAGTAGGTGGTAGGTGCATGAGAAAGCATCCAGAAAGAAATTCTGAGTTCTTGCAATTACAATTCAATTGTATTTAGCAACACATCACCAAAAGGCTTCATTTGCAAAAGCAAATAATAGCACAATAGGAGCATGGCTGCTGAGTGAAAAAGTTGGTGCTGAAGATTTATGTCCAGACTTCTTGAGGTTTTTTTATTTTGAATAGGTTTGGTTGGTCCAAAACAATGATCATCCATTGTTGGTTGAAACACATTAGATGTATCCATGCAGGCTACTTTTCTGTTACCTTTCAACTGAAAAGAGTCCAGTTTTTGCTAAGAGAGCTTGTACTGAGCAGCAAAACATGGGAAGTGAGAATGATAGGGAAGTTCAATTCCAAAGCAAGCTTTTGATCTGCACCACTATGCCAAAGCAGATGCACCTGCAGACATCCCTATTATTTATATTCAGACTTCTGTCTCCTGGCGTAGGATGGCAAATTCAATAGGTCCTAAATTAGGCAGAAAGGCTTCACAGAACCACGCAATGCCAGTGCCAGCAAAGCCTTACCTGTGTGCGTCCTCCGGTGAGCTTTCAGGTGGGAGCTTTTTGTGTATACTTTGTTGCATCCCTCGAAGTCACACCGATGGATGCGTCGCTTCCTGGAGTCTGGAGACTCAGACCTTCTCTGACGTCTTGTGCTCTCAATACTGAATGGCGAAATTGAACTAAAGAACAAAATAGAGGGAAAAAGGAAAAATGAAGCAAGAGCACAACATATATCTTGGACCTGATGAATAGTAGCAAAGATGAATAGTAGCAAAGCACTGTGCCAAAGGCAACCTGATCTTAAATGTTAAATATTTCCTTTTCAGCATAATAGTCAGCAGCACCTCTTTGAAACTATTTATGTTTGAATGAGAGTATATTTTGCAGTACTACATAATTCTTGATTTAGAAGTGCTTATTGCCAGAGAAAACATCTTGAAATAATGCCTCAATAACAAACCAGCCTGACTTTATCTGAGTTTTATTTCTATTTTACATGTCCAATTCCAAGTACAGTGAACCTTGATTTCTAAACAATCTTCTAGAAAGACTCAGTAATTTCTCCTTGATATGTTTAAATTGGTAAAAATTCTGACAACTTTTATCCAGAAGTGTTTCTAGTACCCAGATCTGGGCTACGAATCCTCACGTTTGGCCAAATATCTATTGTGTCCTCATATACAGATTGCCAAGAGATTCTCATCACCTGGCAGCAGTCATTTTTCAATTTCCTTATATAACAGTTCTCAATCACCTGAAAGAAATAGAAGCTCAGAATGGTTTGGGTTGGAAGGGACCTTTAAGATCACCTAGTTCCAACCCCCCTGCTATCGGTAGGGACACCTCTCTCTAGACTAAGCTGCTCAAAGCCCCACTGAATTCCTTTCAGACCACTGAATTTAGCAGTAGCACAGGGCCACAAACCATCCACAAAAAAATGCATATGCTCACAGAAGATTTACTCCATTCATTCCAATGTTCTATCAGTTATCTCAATTTTAAGCAACTAAAATGTTGTATTAAAAGTCACATTATTTTAGTTTATAAATGAAGTACACATTGAGTCAAATTCTTGAAGAAATTCTGCTACAATGCACTTGCCTTGAGCTAGACAAACTGGTGCCAAAAATATTATCAAGTTGGTACATGAACCAAACCCTTATTGATCTCTGTTAACTATATTACCTGCCTATAAATCATTATCCATTGATTTCCTTATCAGCTCCATTACAGTTATACTGCACAGCAGCTGTGCTCACCTACAGTTATAGTAGCTTGCTCAGCTATTTTGAGTGTGTGAACAACATTAGCCTTCCTCAACTTTCTGGGATTTCCACCACATTCCCAGGTTTATTGACATCAGCGAGCTCTTTTAAACTCTCAAGATGAAAGTTCTCAGCTCCTGAAATAACTTGTGACTGTCAAATGAAAATGAATCATAGGGAAGGAAATGGAATGTGCTCCCAAAAAGAAGCATGAACCTCCAGGGAAGCTAAGATACTAAGAATGGCACTGGAAATACTGGTACTGATGTATTCACTGAGAAACTCCCATGTCAACACCGAGATTCAATCCGTGACAATAGCCACTGTTGTTGCAGCTATAGCTGATCTGGCATAAACTTCACTTCTAGGGATTTATGAAGTTTGCTGATGATTGTTTTGGGTTAAAATTTTAGGCATCTCATGCAACTAGCATGTGATTACACTGATGTTTCAATTTACTGCATTTCAAATCTTTAAGTCTCAAACTGTGGCAGTCCAAATTGCGTTTTCTTTCTTTTTGTCTAAATGTTTTTACAGTACAATCCCAACTTAAAGCACTACTGAAAAAAGAAGAATTCTCTGACAACTTTATTTTTCTCTTAACACTTGATATACAGTTATACTTCACCTTCAGGCAAAGAGATTTTTCAGATTAATTATTATTGCCTGAAGTACAATATGTGTAAATGGGCATACAGGGGATTTCTGAAGTAGAGGATGAAATGGGCAGAGGGCCGTAATATCAACATTAACTAGCAAAAAGGAGTCCCCTAGAGAGTGAGACACATCAGCACTTTAACTATGTGACAAGAATACAGATATGTTTAGCTGCTGCAGAAATGGCTAAGGAATTGTACTGAAGCATCTGCATCTCAGGGCAAATAAAAGTCTTGAGTTAGATGAATCACTGAGATCAGTCAGACTACTCCAGATTCTCTTTTTAACATCCCACCAGCTAAAATAAAAGGCAAATGTGTAAATCAAATCTTAAAGCTCAGCGCTGAAGGTACACAGTGCAGCACACAAGACCAGAAAATCTTTAACTTCAAAAATAAATATTTGTGCATCATTTTTTTTTGCTGCATGATTTATGATCTGTCTTAAGAGCCTGTTTTGTAACTGAGTGTTCAGATCCTGAATAATACAGCTTGTTCAAATGGGAGGAGGATCGAGCTTTACAATGCTGCCAGCACTGAGAAAAAAAACGAACCTTGAGAACAGTCGGCACCTCATAAAAAGCTACTTGTCACGTACAGAAGGTGACCTCACTGCATGCTGCTCTCACTTTCCCGGGGATTTATACAGGAGAGGGTGGAATACAGTGGTGCCACACAATCCATGCTGCCATTTCTCAGTTTTCTTTCTCCCTCTTTCTTAAAAGCGAAGCATCAGGGCTACCTGGTTACAGGTGAGAGGGGAATAGCCAAATAAGGCACAGAAAGTGTTGAGCATTACCATTGTCCATCATGAGCTCCACAGCCTTGACGAGCTGTGCACACAAGGAAAAAGGTTACTGCCAGCAAGGAACAGCAAACATAAACTCATGCCTTCCTTCAGCACTGCAGGCTAAGTGACACCCTGGTCAGCAGAAGGCACAAAGGAGACAGATGAGCGCATACCACAAGGGGATCTCCTCCAGCCTCTTTGCTGCAGGGGCATCCTATAGTGCAGGTCCCACAGGTGGAGAAAGAACCAGGTCCTACCTGACACTGCCAGCTCTGCTAGAGCCCTGCACGTACCCTATGACTGCGCAACTGCAGATACTACAGGAAGCCTTAAAAAGTACATAACGATGGGTTCCTGATGGGTTGAGCTTCCTGAGGTTTGTGACTCTCACAGTGACTTTCAGTTCAGTCCTTCTTGTTGGTCATGGAGAAGTAAAGGGAAATCACAGAATCACAGAATAGGCTAGGTTGAAAAGAACCACAAAGATGATCCAGTTTCAACCCCCCTGCTGTGTGCAGGGTCGCCAACCACCAGACCAGGCTGCCCAGAGCCACATCCAGCCTGGCCTTGAATGCCTCCAGGGATGGGGCATCCACAACCTCCTTGGGCAACTTGTTCCAGTGCATTACCACCCTCTGAAATGCTCCACTTTCTTGAGTATTTTCTACAAAATAACTTAACTGATTGCACAGACAGAAAAAAACCCTGAATTCCTCAAAACCAAGTTCTGTGCCTGCTGAAGGCCACTGAGCTTGGCCAGGTGGCTCTGGACATCACAGAGCTTCAGAATTACTGTTCAGTGGCATCACAAAGAATGAACACTTTGAGAATGAAAATGATTGGGAACTCAAAGATATTTGCTTTTTGTAATGATTCTTTTCTTTTTTTTTCTGTTTACAATATGCTGAAGGCAATGTAAAAATTTTTGAAAATGTCTTTAAAGAAAAAAACATCTTTAGCAGTAGCCTCTCTTTACTGCAGACATCTCTTGCAGTCTGCTCAGAAGGAAGACCTGGAAGAGCATCAGCAGCTGTGAGCTGCCAGGGTGCCCTGAGGAGCTGTCAGCTCTCCTGCTGACATCGAAGATCTCAGGAAGCCTTCAAAGCTCAAGGTGGGGTTTAGCAATAGAATCAACATGATGTGTAACATCTCAGGGAAATTGCACGTAATATCCAATTACTGCTGATACATCAAGTTTGAAAGGTAAAATAACAAAGAAGAAAATCGTGTTCTGGCTCTGGCTCATCAGTTTGACATTTATTTATTTGCAACTCATCATTACCAAAAACAGTGTAATTTCTATATTGTTATTTAAAGTATTGCACTAACATAAATCCTGAGAGATAGCTGGTTGCTTCCAAAAGCAGCTGCAACACCGATTGTCATTACTGTTCATAGGGTGGAATGAATGAAATCAGACATTTTTTGGATGGGAGCATTTAAGGTAATTTATAAAACTTGTTATTTCCAGCTAGAAGTGAAAATGTGTTTTTACAATTCAAGTACATGCAAGTGCTTTTCTCTGACACAAAAGTCTGCATGCTAAAACAAAGACTCAGGTTTCACCAGTAGATGGCCATCGAGATCTCCATTCTTATCTTTTCTGCATTCAGTGGGAATTAGAACAGGTCTGGTAATGCTAAATTATTTTCCCTTTTTATGAATGCTGCCTTAGGTGTTTTGCCTTTGCTCCTCATACAGACTGCAGTAATGCTGCTAAAAGCACACAGTGCTTCTACACTAACCCTGTGTTTTCTGAGCAATACGCAGAGCAGAGCTGCTCAGTGACAGTGGTATGTCTACTACTGAGGCCTTGAACTGTGTTCAGTGATACAATAAAATGTGCCACATGGTGACAAGTGCTTTACAGAAACTGCCTGCTCAACGTTGCAAATGCAGTGTTATCTTCTGCCACCAAACCATGTGGCCTTGCCAGTGTCCCAGCAACCTGGACAAGAGCTTGGACAAACTGTACCATATAGCATCCTTCGCAGTGTTATGGCTGCTTTACCCTCTCCTCTAGTTGGTCCTATAGCTGATGTGAGACTTACCACTGCTTTACAAGTTGGTCTGTGGCTGCGAAAAACATGCTGACTTCACTCTGGGACAAAACACTGGCATTTATCAACACTGCCCCCTCTGCTCTTCTGTGAGGAGCACCAGAGAAGCTGGCACCTCACAGCTGCTGAGTCTGGATAACAGACTTGGCAAGCCAGAGCATGCTCTGCAAAGTAGGCATAATGCAAGCTGTGGTCCTCATGTGTTTTTCAAGCTGTTGAAGGATGTGATTTGGTTAAGCTGACATAACAGGACAGTCCTGCTCCAGTTGCTTCCTCTGTGCCAGCACAGGCACTTGTCTGATCCTGCAGTGAGCCAGCTTAGGGACACACGATGACGAAAAGTAAATTCTGAAAGAAACAAACTGAGCAGCTTGTTTGCTTTTGTTCATTTAGTTTCCTAATTAGTGG